TTGCAAATGACACTTGATTTGTCTGAAATCCTATCACAAGGAAATAACTTTTATCAACTTTGGAAGATGTGTTTGAGATGGCATTAATTAACATTCCGACTACGTGAGCCAGCTACAGAGTATCTGAAAGAAGCAGTATCCTCATGAGCAGCTGAAACAGCTACAAGGAGAAGTTCACAGGACAGCTAATTAAAAAGAACATGCCATTAGGTATAAAGAAACCAGGGACAGAGGAAAAAACAGGTTTTTAAACAAATCGAAGGCCACAGGTTGGGGAATGCAGCACTGATTTTTGCAAATTAGCTACCTATCACCTGGGCATCTCTATACAGGGTCTGGTAGGAAGTAGCAGCAAGATTTTTGTTTTGTTTTTTAAAGGATAATTAAGTATTCCACCAAGAACTACAGAGTACATTAGTTATGAGTGCCACAGTCCTGGTAAACATAAAAAAAATTCCTTAAGTTCTCAATTCTTACCTTTTCCTGTCTTTTTTCAAAAGAGGATTTAACTTCATCAGAATCTTTCTGTACATTTAAGATACTTGTATTCTCACTTTCCTCATCATCTGGCAAAGCAAAAGTCACTCTTTTCGAGGTTTCTTTATGTTGCTTACTGTCTTCACTTTCTTCAAGTTCATTATCTTCATCACTATAGTATACCAAAACATTTATGAAAGGATAACACACTATTTTTCATTAGGAAAACAAAACCAATTCTCTAGTAATTATAGATATGTTGTATACCTAACACAGTCAGAATTCCAAAGTCATTCAGTTATTAAGGAACAGAGATATTATTTAGGTGAAACAGAACAAAAGCGTGCAATATATAAAAAATAAATTATTCCTCAATCTGTAAGACAAATGTATCTCACAATAATGACAGTAAGGTATTTTTAGTTTCATTGTCACTGCCAGTGATATTTATCTTCATTAGATGATCTCTAAAGCCCCTTTAAACTCAGACACTTTCGGGGCACCTGGGTGGCTCAGTGGGTTAAGCATCTGCCTTCGGCTCAGGTCATGATCTCAGGACCGTGGGATCGAGCCCCACGTCGGGCTCTCTGATCAGTGGGGAGCCTGTTTCTCCCTCTCTGCCTACTTGTGATTTCTCTCTCTGTCAAAGAAATAAAATAAAATCTTAAAAAAATAAAAAAACCTCAGACACTTTCTTCTGGCTACCTTGAGACTATCTGATCTTAAAGAATATAACTTCTTAGGACAAACATTTTTTTTTTTTTTTAAAGATTTTATTTATTTATTAGACAGAGATCACAGGTAGGCAGAGAAGCAGGCAGAGACCCTGAACTGAAGACAGAGGCTTTAACCCACTGAGCCACCCAGGCGCCCCACATATTTAACTATGAGTCCACACACACAACTGGAATGTTCTAGCTTACAGTGTAAAGGATTCAAAATACTCACGTTTCAGAAATGTTCTCCTCTCCTTCTTCGTCAGCAATTTCTTCCTCCTCTTCATCTGAACCCAGTTCATCGTCATGAGCACTTGCTAGGTCTTCATCACTTTCAACTGGATCAAAGAAGTCTTTGTATTTCAGGTTTCTGGAACTTTTACCTGACTAAAGTAAAAAGATTTTTCAAACTTTCAATTAAGAACAGAAGAACACATTAAATCATGCACGTATGTGGATGCATATTACATACGGGGAACTGGTGACAGACAACATCACCACACAGATGTAAGGGCTACTAGACCATAACAAACTGGAAGGAAGCATAGGTTCACTTGTACTGATAAGACAGAGTACAACATCCTAACTCTAAAGCTTCTAACTATAATCATTTCTAAAACATCCCTGTCTAAAGTATACAAATGCCTTCCTCTCCCTATTATTTTTTGTGTTTGATGGAATATGTTTGAGGGGAATTCTGAATACCTCTAACATGTGTGACTATGCTTCTTAGGTTCAAAACAAGCATTCTGTGATAAGGAAATGATGGCTTTGGTTTAATTTTTCTAGCTCATTGTTTTCAACTGATCTAAATATTTCATTAATGCTCTGGTGAGTTTTGAGGTATTTTAAACCACTCTTCAAGAAATAGAACAAAATCTAATTTAAGGAGGTAGAAAGTCTCTTCTCCCAAAACTTTACCTGAGGTTTCTGACTTCCAAGCAGTTCTCCCTCATCTTCATCAGAATCAACATCTTCAAAAAAATTAATGTCTTCCTCTTCCTCGTCATCTTTTGGCCCCTCTTCCTTTTCCATGTTTTCTAAAAAGGTCTCCATTTCAGATAGTTTGAAAAATGTATCATCTACTATGGACTTCTCTCTTGGTTTCCTAGACACTTTGTCTTGCACCTTGCTCTGCTGCTCCAATTTGCTGATATCAAAATCAAGATCAGAATCCTCATCACTGAAAACTGGACTCTTCCTGAGATCACCTTTGCTCAAGTTTTTAGCTCTCTCATCCACTTTAAGATCATCACCGCTCAGGTCAGCCAACTCCTCCTCCTCCAGATCTTGTTTGAGGACCTCCTGATCATCAGACTCCACCGCTGAGCCATCCTCTTCACACTCCTGCTCTTCATTCTCTGGAAGAAGACTGAGGTCTTCGTCTTTAATGGTTTTACTAACTGCACTGTGGAAGTACTGTAAAATTGGTTCATTTTGCAATTCTAGTTGTTGCCAAATCTGCTCATCATCAAAATTGTCTATCACCAGTTTTTTTAATGGACTTCCATGGATCCTGTCATTCTCTAATATTTTATTAAAATCATAAAGTACTTTTGTTAACGAAGTGAAGTTTGATGCCAATTCATCTTGAATCCTATTAAGGGAGCACGGGGAGGAAGTTTAAAGAGATTTATAACTATAGGCAATAATTTCACAGCACTATGAGTTAAAAGGAGAAAAAAGCCTAACTTCTGTGTAAAATCAAACTTGAATGAAATATCAATTTTAAGTATAGATTCTGCTCCCGAAGAGTGTATTAGCTTGCTGAGGAGCCATATTAATATACGACTAAGTCTGTGATCTACTATATGCAGGGAAACTATTACACACCTCTTTGCCTAAAGATATATGGTGAATCTTAGCCTTAAATGCCAACTCCGCTATATTACATGCCACTCCATTCAGTCAGCCAATGGTTAACACTTGCTTTGGCTCAAGAGTGCTCAGCGAATACCTCTGAAGATCTGACATCTGAAATGAGACCTGTATACGAGGAGACATTCTTACAAAGACCTGGAAACATATATTCCAAGCAGAAAAAAACAGCGAGAGCAAATTTTGTAAGATGGAAATGAACTTGGTTCATTTGAGGAAAAGAAATGAAAGCATGGCTGGAGTGCGGTGAAGAAGGCAGAAGGCCAAGGAGGTAGATGGGAACTTTAACATGCAGGCTCTGAGGTAAGACTTTGCTATTTTAAGTGTAAAGAGAAGCCATCAGAAGATTTGTTTTAAAGATTTTATTTATTTATTTGACAGACGGAGATTACAAGCAGGCAGAGAGGCAGGCAGGGGGCGGGGGGGGCGGCTCCCTGCTGAGCAGAGAGTCCCATGTGGGGCTCCATCCCAGGACCCTGGGGTCATGACCCGAGCCGAAGGCAGAGGCTTCCAGGAGCCCCACCATCAAAAGATTTTAAGCAAAGGATGGGGCGCCTGGGTGGCTCAGTGGGTTAAAGCTTCTGCCTTCGGCTCAGGTCATGATCCCAGGGTCCTGGGATGGAGCCCCGCATCCGCATCCGGCTCTCTGCTCAGCAGGGAGCCTGCTTCCTCCTTTCTCTCTGCCTGCCTCTCTGCCTACTTGAGATCTCTGTCTGCCAAATAAATAAATAAAGTCTTAAAAAAAAAAGATTTTAAGCAAAGGAGCAAAATGATGTAATTTACACTTTGGAAAGATGACCAACAGAGGAAAAGGAATGAAAGTACAGTGATTAGGATGACACAGTCATCCAGGGAAAGGATGACAACCGTACAGGGGTTAGAACAGCAGAAACTGTGACAAGCAGTCAAATTCAGAATACAGACTGAAGACAGAACCGACAGTATTTGCTGATGAATTAGAAGCAGACATGAGGAAAAGGGCGCTATCAAGGAAGAAGCTTAGTTACATGTCTGAATGACTGAAAAAAACCAGAGGAGCCGTTTACTGAGATAGGGAAGGCAGGTGCATGTGGAAAGGATTTCAGGGAGGGCAGAATATAAGACAGTAGACAGAAACAGGTCATTTTGGACATAAGAAATTTGAGATGCTGAGAACGTATAACGGCTGGAGCTGCTGTGCGCCTGAAGCTCAAGGGAAAAGTCGGGTATCTGAGAGCCACACTTTCCTAAGTCGTACGTTAAGTCCTTCAACAAAATACGAAGAGCTTATGGTACGAAGTCCTACTTCTCAAGCAGCTCATCGTGGGACGGGGGTAGACAGACAACAAACATTACTTTCAATAAAGTATGATGAGTAAGTAAGCACTGGGTGGTTTCGGAGCCCGTTGGAGGAAAGAGCAACCAATCTAGTGGGCTCGCAACTGTGTGGGAGAGTAGGGGGACGCGTAAGACTCAGTGGAAGCCTCTGGGCGTTAATAACTGAGCTTGGTTTGGGTAGCACACGACTGGGAGAGCCGCACTGCACAGCCTGTGACCATTTAAAATTTCCTGACGGGCTAGCGGAGCGTAACGCGAAACCTGGCGGAAACAGATGCACGCTTCCCTTTAGCCCTCTGCTCCAGCATCTGCCGGCAGGCCGCGCCCACGCGAGACCTGGGCCGCACCCCGAGCCCGCGTTCCCTTCACTTACGTGAGAAAGCACTCTGGCTGGCCAGTGGCTTTATCCACCTCCTTCAGACACCGCTCCAGGGTCCGCCGACGCCAGACCGGCGGCGCCATCTCCTTCCGCAAACCGGGACACAGCGCCGCATGCACAGGAAGAGGGCCGCCCGGAAACCGCGCCACAAAGACGCGCCTCGCGCAACTTGAACCGGGAAGGCGAAAGTTCCGCTGCGTACAGGTTCCGGACCCACCCCCCCGCCAGAGCCAATGGCAGAGCAAGAACTTTCACTGGGCCATTGGTCAGTTTTAGCGCCTTTGAACTTTCTCTAAACTTTCTATTTTGTATCCCTGAGGGGCCCAAAGGGGTGACGTGTCCTTCGTTTAAGTTTCTGCTTTAGACGCACTGGGTGGCTTCAATACGTAAAATAAGAACTAGCCCACCCGCCGCACCACGGGCGCGCAGCAACGCTCGCCACGCCCCCTAGCCTCGTAGGCCCCGCCCCCGGCCGCGTGGACCCCGCCCCTCGACCGAGCTCCTTTCCACGCGTGAAGCACCCGAGGGTACAGTGGGTCACTTTCCAAAATGGCTCGCGTGTTGAAGGCGACGGTGGCGAGCGTGGCGGTGGCGGCGGCAGCGGCGGGGGCGGCGGCGGCCGAGAGTGCAGTAGGTGAATACCCAGCGCGGGCGGGGATCTCCGGGGAGCGGGACGCGCGGGACGCGAGGCCGGGGGCTGGGACAGGCGGCAGGTGGCCAGAGCACCTAAGTCCACTGCGCTCTGTCCCCCGGTCAGCACCTGTAGGCTGGAGTAGATGAAGTCAGTGGCGGAGGGACAGTGAATGTTAATTTCCAGTGCACCGTAGGAGACGGGAGAAACCAGAAAGAAGGGCGAGTCCTTTAAAAAACAAGGTGAACTCCCAAGTCCTTCCAGTACCCGCTGGAAATCCTTGGAGGTCAGTTGTGTGAAGAATACCAAGGGAGTGTTATTTTTTTACCTCCTGCCCTAATATATTTATTATTCCGTATGTAAACAGGAAAGACAAAGGCAGACGGATTTGGGAGGTTTCTTGAGTCTTCTTCACCTCCATCAAAAAAAAAAAAAAAAAAAAGCTGGATCGACTCAGTAAATGACAGAAACTCAAGTTTTCTGACTCTCAAGCCACTCACTTTCTCCTCTTTCTTTTTCTTTTCTTCTTATAAAGATTTCATTTATTTATTTGACAGACAGAGATCACAAGTAGGCAGAGAGGCAGGCCGAGAGAGAGGGAGGAAGGGAAGCAGGCTCCCCGCTGAGCAGAGAGCCCGATGCGGGGCTCAATTCCAGGACCTGGAGACCGTAACCTGAGCCCAAGGCAGAGGCTCTAACCCACTGAGCTACCCTAGCACCCCTCTTTCTTTTTGCTCTTTGTTCTTCATCACTATTTCAATTAATGAAATTCCCTGTTAGGGAGAGTGCCAAGTGGTAATGTCTCAAGAGTTACTCCTGAACATTGGTCATAAAGCCTTCAGTTCAGGGATGAACCTTTAGTAATGTTAGATCCCTTTGCTAGGTAGTGCTTTCTCTAATCCGCCTATTCAAATATACAATTCTAGCCGTGCGTTGAAGTCCCATCTTAAACTAACCAATTCTTTATTGACCACTGTAGTCTTCCTGACCAGTCACATTTCTTAAACATTTATCATTGCAAGTCACCAGGGCTAAGTTAGAGCCACATACAAAGAAGTACGCCATAATAGTTTTGGTTGTCTCAGTACTTTATCAGTTTGAAGAGGTGGTATGTATATATGAGAAAATACTATAACAGGCTGAGCACAGCTTGTTGAAATGAATCTGATTAATAGGTGAGTCTAAAGTTTTCATAATAACACATCCTCCTGGTCCCTCCTTCCTCTCCTTGGTAAGATACAAGCAGCATCTTAGCTCACGCACAATTGCAAGCAACCCTTTGCAAAAAAACAAAGATAAGAAAATGAAGACAAAAAGTCATCTCTTATTATATCTTAGAAAACCCTCTGTTAGAATGTAGATATTGTGCATAAAATATACATTAAAGATATTAAAAGTTGGGGATCAAAAGAATGGTAAAAATTTCAGAGGAAAGAGAAAATTCAACATCATGGTTTAATAACACCGACTTTGATGTCAGACAGATGTGGGCTTTAGGCCCAGCTTAGTGTGACCTTGAAGAAATTACTTAATCAGGCCTAATTTCCTTGTCTGCAAATTGGAAAAATAATATTTTTCGATGCATGGAATTATGGTAAAGATTGAAGTGCTCACTGAACTATTACTGTTAAGTCTATTTTATGGCTATGAGAACTAAGAGAGCTAGGCTAGCACATGATGTACTCCTACTTCAGAATTCACAATTTCGCAGTTTGGTTAGGCAAGATTACAGACTTAGGCAAGTTTACAGGGTAATATTGTTGCATAACTCTCACAATGAAATAAAGTCATAGGTCTCTACTGGTAGTGAGGTCAAATCAACAAGATGATATATCATGGTATGCCATAGGATTAAATTCTCTACTGTTGGTAAATCCCAGCAGTATGGAGAATGTCTAGAGACTAGGGCATATCTGCACTGGGGATAATAACCAGTTCATACAATTCTTGAAAGGCAGAATTGTTACATAGTTTCCACTTCTACATGATATTAAAAGGATTTCTCAAGTTAAAGCAATAGTCATGAGCAGTGTGGGAGAGTTAGAGGTTACTCTAAACAACTAATTTTAACTTGAAAAAATTGTAAATCACTATTCATGTATCAAAAAGCAAAAAGCGGACCATGACTATAATACCTTCCAGCAGCATTATTCCACCGGAGTGTCAGTAGTCACTAAACACTGAAATACGACCAAAGATCTAAAATCGCAGCCCACACCATAAGTTTCCTAGAGTAAAAGGAGAGTGGTTTCCTTGTGATAAAAAGTAGTAAGTTGTGGATTAATGGAATGATGCAGGGAATACAGAAATACTATGTGTGCCAAAACATTAATACAAGTAATACAAGTAATCTTTAGTATTTGAGTCTAGTCTAGTATCACATATAGGGTAGGTGCACAGTTTTTTCCTTTAATAGTGCAAAATATGTTAGAATGTTAAAATATGTTAGAGATGTTTATGTTTATAAGCAAGTTATTGATGTAACCTTTCTGTAAGTGCTAATAATGATCATTCTTGGAATTTGCTATGTACTTTGTGCCAAGTACTTTTCTAAACCCTTTATATTATTCATTTTAGTCTCATGACTATATGAGTTAGGTATTATCTTCCTATATGAGAAAAAAGAGACACGGAGAGGGTACGTAACTAGGGTACTAATGCCAAGTTACAGAACAAATGGTAGGGTCAAGATTTGAACCAGGACAGTTTAACACTGGAGCCCACGTTCTTAACCATAAGACATGCTGCTTCTCCTATGATACTTACACACAAAACCTGAAAGTGAATGTATAAATAATAACTTGAATATTAGAGAAGAGACATTTTTATATGTGTATTTTTAGAAATATTTTTATTCAGTAGTTGATGGGGGGAAACTACGAGGAAGGGAATATAACTTCCAGAAAGTCATACCTTTATTGCAAGAACTGAATGCTAATAAAGATACATTTTTTTGGTAAATTATATAACATCTGCCACAAGGGAAAAGTAAAATGAAAATAGTGTATTCTAAAGGCCAGCTCTGGTTTATTCTCCTATTTCAGGTGCTTGAACCTTAAATAACCCCACTTTGTCTTTTATTGTGGTTAAATATACAGAACATAAAATTTGCCATTTTAACCATATTTAGGTGTACAGTTCAGGGGCATTAAATAAGTTGACCCTTGAACAACATAGGTTTGAACTGCATGGGTCCAATTATACTCACAATTCCTCAATAAAGTATTGTAGATAAATTTCTTTTACGATTTTCTTAGTAATATTTTCTTTACTCTAGCTTTCTTTATTGTAAGAATATAGCATATATATTACATGTAACATGCAAAATATGTGTTAATTGACTCTCTGTGTTATCAGTAAGACTTCTGGTCAAGGCTTCTGGTTTTGGGTAGTTATATGTGTATTTTTGACTGTGTTGGGGGTTGGCACTCTTAACCCCCCAGTTTGTTCAAGAGACAATTGTATATTTGTATTGCGAATCCGTCACCACCATCCATCTCCAGAACTTTCACCATCCCACCCTGAACCTCTATACCCATTTAACAATAACCCCCATTATCCTCCACCCCCAAGCCATGGTAACCATTATTCTACTTTTTATGAATTTGACTACTCCAGGTGCTGTTTGTATGTAGAATTATATAATATTTGTCCTTTTGTGAGTGGCTGTTTCTCTTGGCATGTTTTTAAAGTTCATCCATGTTGTACCTAATGTGTCAGAACTTCATTCCTTTTTAAGGTTGAATAGTAGTCCATTGTATGTGTACACCACATTTTATTTTTTCATCTGTCAATGGACACTTAGGTTATTTCCAGATTTGGCTATTGTGAATAATACATCTATGAACATGAATATGTAAATATCTCCTTGATTTTCAGTTTTTTTGGGTATATACCAGAAGTGGGATCACTGGACAATGTGGTAATCTTATGTTAGGACCCCACCTTTAAGGAACATAATACTTCACAGAAAAACAGGAGAAGCGCAGAAAAATGAATCCTATTAAGGACACACAATAAATTCCAATTTGGCTTGCAAAGGATTGACTTCATGAAAAAAGGTAGTTTTGAAAATAGAAGATGATCTGGGGCACCTGGGTGGCTCAGTGGGTTAAGCCTCTGCCTTCAGCTGAGGTCATGATCTCAGGGTCCTGGGATCGAGCCCCTCATCAGGCTCTCTGCTCAGCGGGGAGCCTGCTTCTCCTTCTCCCTCTGCCTGCCTCTCTGTCTACTTGTGATCTCTCTCTGTCAAATAAATAAATAAAATCTTAAAAAAAAAAAAGAAAGAAAATAGAAGATGATCCTGATAGGAGACAACTGTGGCCAAGTTATAGGACTGTGAGGAGAGATTTACTTTTATTATGGAGTCATATGTAAGTGGGGTAACAAAAGCATGGTGTGTTTACTGACTGGGATAAGTAAAAAGTTATTCCTACCAGCGTTTTAAACAGGTTGTAAATATGGATATGGTGCTGTGGGGAATCGACTGGTTGAATGCTGAAAATATATGGACTTCTTACCAAACAACTTGGAAGGCACTTCTAATGAATGTCTTTCTAAGTATGTTATGTCTCCGCAAATAAGATATACAAAAGTTCAGACTTGAGAACTTACTACATGTTCTAAAATTAGATTATGTAAAATTTGCACAACGTTGCAAATACATAAGAAAACAGTGAACTGTGCACTTCAAATGAGGGAAGCTTGTCGTGTGTAAATTATAGGAAGACCTCATTACATGCGACTTTCAGACCTGTTAGGAAGACCTTATTACAAGTGATTATTCACAGTTTTGTGGCACTTTATGTACAAACTCAACATAATTTCTTTTAAACAGTAAGTGCCCTCAATGCATTTGAGTACAGACCCTTGCAGCTGAAGCCTTGTTTGGAGCCCATGTTTGGAAAGACTGGTCTGAGATAAATGCAATCTGGATGGAAGGAAATTCAATGTTACTTTTAAGTCAAGACACTGAAAGTATTTAGTAAGAGCCAATATTGAGAGAAAGATATGAACCAAAGTTAACATACAGACCAGATTTGGTAACATATCTATTTCTTATATGTGAGATTCTTGTTTCTTAAATCTGTAGATACTCATCTTTGCAATCCTGTTGGGTTTTAACACTCCTGTTTTTATTTTGTTTTTAAGATTTATTTATTTGAGAGAGAGAGCACATATAAGCAGAAGGGAGGGACAAAGGGAGAGGGAGGGAGAAAAGGACCCCTTTATTCCATGTTTTCTGCCCCAGTTTGCTTAGTCTATAGGATTGCACTTTAGACTTTTAGCTAAATTAATCCCATTGTTGTTGTTTTAAGGTAATTCACATAATGTAACATTTTAAAATATACAAGTTATCAACATTATATTTACCATGTTGTATAACCATAATCTTTATTTAATTCCAAGACATTTCCATCATCCCAAAGGGAAATCTTGTGCCAGTTAAGCAATCAATCCCCATTCCCACCTCTGTCTAGCCCTTGGCAACCACTATTCTGCTTCTTGTCTCTATGGACTTACCCATTCTGGTTATTTCCTATAAACATATGACCTTTTATGTCTGGCAGCTGTCACTTAGCCTAATGTTGTCACTTAGTATAGTGTTTTCAGGGTTCATCCATGTATCATTGCTTCATATCCACTACATGGATCATATTCCACTGTACGAATATGAATCATTTTCCATGGCCGTTGGGAATAGTGCTGTCATGAAAATTTGTGTACGAGTTTTTGTTTGAGTACATGTTTTCAATTATTTTAGGTACCTAGGAGTGGAATTTCTGAGTGACATGCTAATTGTATATTTAACTTTCTGAGTTTTCCAAACTGTTTCATGGCAGCTCTATCATTTTACATTCTTACCGGCAATGTACAAGGATTCGTTTTCCACATCCACATCAACACTTTCAGTTGTGGATATGAAGTGGTATCCTGTTGTGTTTTTGATTTGCCTTTCTCTAATGGCTAATGATATCGAGTATCTTATATGCTTTTTGCTTATTTTTATGTTCTTAACCCTTCATTTTTTTAAGTGTGTTTATTCATTTACTCTCTACATGCAATGTAGGGCTCGACCTCCTGACCCTGAGATCAAGAGCCTCAGGCTCTAGCAATTGAGCTAGCCAGGTGCCCCTCTTAACCCTTCATTTTAAAGAAGTTGAATTACTGAATTCTAACCATTATCACTGGGTTTATTTTTGTTCTATTCCCAGAGACCAAAAAAAAAAATCAATAAAGTATTTTTTTCTCAAGATAGTTTACATTTCTAGAGATAAAATAAACCTGTAACTACAAAGTCTTGACTGTTACATTATATAAAGTTGTTATTATCTTTCTATTTTCCTAATGTATGAAGATTTTATGTTCCATTGAAAAGAAAAAGAACCAGTCATTCTACTAACTCCTTCCTCCTCTCCCATTTCCAGATGATAAGATGGTCATGGAGAAAGGTAGACCATAGGGAGGCTTCCGATAACATGAGTTGCTTGGGCTACCTTTTCAATGTCAGAGGTTTTAGAATGTTCCCCCAACAAACTGGAACAGTATATAAAATTTTACCTTCACTTGGACATCTTGTAATTTATTCCTTTGATATTTCTATATGTTCCATTGCTAGTAATAGGATGCCTGCCAAAGAACCACCAGCTGCCCCAGTTTGTGTAGAGATAACACTAATAAGGAGAATTCAGAAATACCTAGACTCAGTATTTGATACCTTCAAGATTTCACAGAGCAAATGACTTCTTTTTTTTTTAAGATTTTATTTATTTATTTGACAGAGAGATCACAGGTAGGCAGAGAGGCAGGCAGAGAGAGGGGGAAGCAGGCTCCCTGCTGAGGTCCCCAGGATCCTGAGATCATGACCTGAGCCGAAGGCAGAGGCTTAACCCACTGAGCCACCCAGGCGCTCCCAAATGACTTCTTTTGATGTGCATTTTGCTCTAAAAGATCATTGGCCCTACCTACCATGTGTTTGTTTGTTTTTTTTTTAATACAAATACATTCTCTACTGAACTTTCATTGCAAAATGCACAGATAGTAGAGATGTGAGGCAAGAAAGGAAGAGCAGTTTGACCAGTGATATTGTTGGTTGTTAGCATTTTTTTAAAAAGATTTCATTTATTTACCTGACAGAGATCACAAGTAGGCAGAGAGGCAGGCAGAGAGTGAGGGGGAAGCAGGCTCCCCGCCAAGCAGAGAGCCCGACTCGGGGCTCGATCCCAGGACCTGGGATCATGACCTGAGCTGAAGGCAGAGGCCCTAACCCACTGAGCCACCCAGGTGCCCCGGTTGTTAGCATTTTTAAAATTCACTACCACCATGCTCTTGAGATGGTTTCTTGCTCTCCACAGATTACCCTGCATACCACTCAGTTAGCAAATGATCATTGTTTATTAATAACAATGAGAATGGCTGAATTTATTGTGCACTTATTATGTATGTCTGGCACTGTATTATATTTTTTATACCAAATATCTAATCTTTACAGCAAACTTAGCAAGATAGATATTTAGTGGGTAGTGACAGAATTTTTTTAAAAACTGAAATAAAATGCAACAGAGTAGAAACTGTCAGAGCACATCACATCTGTTGAGGAGTAGGTATGCTTTTCATGAAGTATACTTTCAATTGTACATTTATGTACATGTGTACTAGTTTGGAATACACGTGAATTTCAAAATGCAGGGAGTCCATAGAACTGAGCTAGGTCATCTTGTTGATAATGACAACCTTTGGGTATTTCCATTATCAGTAATACAGGCTTGCATACAGCAGAAGATTATCTGAGGCTGAATTTTGCCTTCTACTGACCTATGATACATCACATTTGTCAAGCAGTACCATACACTGGTTACCAATCCCAGGGGAAGACTCTAAACACTTCTCCCCATTGCGTCTTAGTGTCAGAGTCTTCAAAGAAAACACAAACAGTAGATGGCACAATGCTTTACTTTCATAGAGAGGAGACAGAGTAAGATTACCTTTAACAGTGGGTGTTGGTCCACCATTGCCAATGAGTCTCTCCCAGTGGCCAGTGCAGGACGGTTTACATATGCACTCTTCTCTTGTGCTGTCCCCTCTCCACAGAGGACTGATAAAACAGTGAGAACTCATGTAACGTATGACACACAAACTTTAAACTGAGACAAAAGGACATTCATTGAGCTGGACAGAGGGAAAGCTACGCTCGGGATAAGGTGATAAGCCCTGCACAGGCCCTGTGGGCTCTTCTCTCTTGGTAAGGAGGTTTTCTTCCTTATCTGACTGAGTGGGGGGTTGAAAGACTACACACATGAGACTTCCTTTCCCCACAAGGTTTGTGGTCTTAAATAGTGTCATTTTAATTTCCTTATTATCAGTAATTTCAGTAAAGGGGAATTAATTATTTGTTAGCTGGAGCTCTGTGATACTAAGTACTGTTTAATGTATTTTCCATTAAGAGCTAAATCTAATTGTTTAGAATATGTGTTCTTCAATTTGCCATTTTGTACCTTTTTTTATTAGCTGATGTAGTTTTACAAGATTATTTTTAGACCTCGTGTATATATATAGCTTTCATTCTGGGGAGAATCTGGCTCTTAAAATCCAGTGTATTGGGGACTGGGGAAACAGTAATCCACAGAGAGAACACGTTACAAGTCTCTTCCATTTCTAAATGAAAGAGATTTCTTCACATTCCGCAGCAGTTCTGCTTCTAATTCTTCAAAATGATAAAAAGGAACAGTTTTTAAGAATCTCGTCTCAGAGGGAATTCTTGGAAGTTTAAGGACCCTCTTAATCTTTGCTTGTTTTTCTCGCAACAGTGAGATATTTTCCTTTGTAATTATTATTTTTTAAGTGACATTGAAAAGCACTGTAGTGGTTGTGACTTTTGATACATATTACTATAAGACAAAAAATCAGTTATAAGTAGAAATAAAATTGCTTGTTCTCATCATTGAATGTGTGTTGTTTCACTGTCACATTCAAACTTACCTCTTGTGAAATGCAGAGAATAGCAAGTAATCCTTAACTCTGTGTAGTTGTCCTTTAAGTGTGATCAATAAATAAATTATGAAAAATACCATCTTTGTTTTAAATCTAAAAAGCTCAGAATTAATTTTTTGATTCCAGACAATTGTTTCAGAGCAGGGTAATTTTGACATAGTTTTTCCATTCATCTACCTGATTTAACTTCAGTAATTAAAACCAGAATAGGTATATAAATGATTTTACATGTATTATGCGTTTCTTTTTTTTTTAATTATTTTTTATTATGTTATGTTAGTCACCATACAGTACATCATTAGTTTATGATGTAATGTTCCATGATTTATTGTTTACGTATAACACCCAGTGTTCCATGCAATACGTGCCCTCCTTAATACCCACCACAGGGCCAACCCACCCCCATCTAAAACCCTCACTTTGTTTCTCATAGTCCACAGTCTCTCATGGTTCATCTCCCCTCCAGTTTCCCTCCCTTTATATTCCCCTTCCTTCTCCTAATGTCCTCCATGCTATTTCTTATGCTCTACAAGTAAGTGAAACCATATGATAATTGACTCTCTCTGCTTGACTTATTTCACTCAGCATAATCTCTTCCAGTCCCATCCATGTTGATACAAAAGTTGGGTATTCATCCTTTCTGATGGCTGAGTAATAGTCCATTGTAGACATGAACAGACACTTCTCCAATGAAGACATAGAAACAGCTAACACCACATGAAAAAATGTTCATCATTAGCCATCAGGGAGATTCAAATCAAAACCACATTGAGATACCACCTTATACCAGTTAGAATGGCCAAAATTAACAAGACAGGAAAGAACAAATGTTGGAGAGGATGTGGAAAAGGGGAGCCCTCATACAACAGTTCGTGGGAATGCATTTAGTTTTTTAAAAAATTAATTTTATAAATCCATTAATTCTCAAAAGAAGGATATCAATGGCTATTCCCTTTTTCAGGGTTTTTTTCCAGACTTCAGACTTCAGTTCCAAAAGGAAGAACTTTCTCCACATCACAATCCTCTCTTCAAGCGGCAGGTCCTGTGTGGAACCTGGGTCGACTCAATCATGTAGCAATTGCAGTGCCAGACTTGGAAAAAGCCACAGCATTTTATAAGAATGTTCTGGGGGCCCGGGTAAGTGAGGCGGTCCCTGTTCCTGAGCATGGAGTGTCTGTTGTTTTTGTCAACCTGGGAAACACCAAGATGGAGCTGCTTCATCCGTTGGGAAATGACAGTCCAATTGCAGGTTTTCTGCAGAAAAACAAGGCTGGAGGAATGCATCATATCTGCATTGAGGTATTTTATTTCATTGTTTGGTGTTTCAAATTTCTCTTTTACAAAATGTCTTTTACTCTTTAAGACTGTGTATTGTCACTGTCATCAAAACTGGTATTAAGTTCTTTAAAGGGAATGGTAATAGTGGTCTTACTCACAGATGGATCCGTGGGTATATTCTCTTTCCCTCTAGAAGACTGAATAATAATAATAATATATTTTATCGAAGTCTGGATTTAACAGCCACAACAAAGGCCACCAAAGCTGGCCAAAGCAGATTTGCATCTTTGCTATAGTATTTATTGATTATACATAACCTCCCATGTTACAGGAATTACAGCTGCTTTCACTATCACAAGGCAACTAGAAGGTGAAAAGACTTTATAGAGTAAGAATTTCCATATACATGCTAACTATTCTTATGATTATTTTCTATCCTTAAAATTCTAATAATAACTTGTTCCTTATTATAAAAGCGATACATTTTCAATTACTGACCGTGATTTTTAAGACCTTTCAATTGCATCTTACAATTCCCAAGAAAAACTTGAAATGTTAGACAAGAACATTCTCATTAGAAAGCCTGTATCTGTAGATAGTCATGTTCAGATAACTGCCTTTTGTAAGACCAGCAATACTAATTATGCTTCATTTAAATTATTTTGATAGGACAATTCTTTTCATAGAAAGAAAGGCATAATTAATTTGTAGGCCTTGTTCCTAATCCAGAAGAGAAGGGGGTTGATTCTAGAGTGAATTCAAGGATTTATTCAGTTCATTTTGCAAACATATTTAAGAACCTACAGAGTGTACTGCACTGAGTAATGCGATTCAGCAGTGAAGAAGAAACAGACCATGCACACAGTGAGGCGGGACAGCTATTTAAAAAGGCAATTAGAGTATCCTACGATAAAGCAGGATTAATGCACATGTCTTCTCAGTAACATCAATAAGGGAAAGGTTGCTCCTGGCCGGCGGAGGAGGTGAGAAGGCATCACAGAGCCTGAGTTGTAATGAAGGTGAAGGAATTCCCCAGATCAACAAGAGGAGAAAGGTATTCCAGGGGCGCCTGGGTGGCTCAGTGGGTTAAAGCCTCTGCCTTCAGCTCGGGTCATGATCCCAGGGTCCTGGGATCAAGCCCTGCATCTGGCTCTCTGCTCAGCGGGGAGCCTGCTTCCTCCTCTCTCTCTCTCTGCCTGCCTCTCTGCCTACTTGTGATCTCTGTCTGTCAAATGAATAAATAAAATCTTTAAAAAAAAAAAAAAAAGAAAGAAAGAAAGGTATACCAGGCAGAGGCAACAGTATATGCAAAGGGATAGTTATACTAACCACTCACATTGAATCCTCTGGCAGTATATGAAGGACTCAATGTGTACTATTTTCTTTCATTTTCACAGCTACTCTATGAACCATTCTACTCACCTTTGACAGTTAACTTGCCTCTAGTCAAATTAGTAGTAAGTGGGAAGGCTGAGGGTCAAACCCAGATTTGTTCTGATTCCAGGATCAGCACTGTGAGCTGTGGTACCAAATTGCCTTCATCATATTGGGTAATTTTTAAATTTGAGGCGGGGGAGCCATAACATGTTAGGAGCTAAACATACCTACTATTTAACCTTTACACCTTTTTGGGGAGGTTAATTTTGGCTGCAAGTCTTTATTTCAGTGGACTTTAGGGTTTGTCTGAGACATCCCCCCAGGATGAGAAGCAGGATCATCAACCTTTGAATGGACTCTTCCCTCTCCCACACTGCAGTGTCTGTGTTCTACATCAGAGAGTCCATGCCTTCAAAGGAAGCTGCCATGTGAGTTAGAGTTCAGTTAAGTAAAGAACAGTGGAAGTTCAGTAATGTAACAGTATATTCAAAAGTACAGATTAAAAGGGGGAAATGAAAATGTAATGTCAGTATAAAATAAAGGTGTACAATAGGAAAAGGTGTGAAAAGTTAGTTTCTAAGTTAGTATGACACCCCCTGTCATCGTTCTCTGTTCTTGGTAAAAAAAAAATAAAGTGGCTTAACTAGATACATGGATAGATGGATTTTATTTTTCTCTTCTCAGTCTAAAAGTGAGGTGTTCCGGAGGGGAGGGAAAGCAGAGAGAAAATACAGGGCAAATGCCTGTAAAGAGAGGGTCTAGAAATTACACATTTCACTCTGCTCGTGTCCCATCAGTCTGATCTTAGTTACATGGTACTCTGGGCTGCAGATGCATCTGTAGGCAGGCGGTTAGGAACCTTGCTAACATTTACGCTGTTGCTATAATTAAAAGGAAGAAAAGGGGAAACCATACTGGAGACCGCCAATCTATGCTACGCTTGGTAACTTTTAAAAAATGGTATTGCCAGAATAGTGTGACACTTTTTCTGAATGAAGATATGCTGTAGGATAGAAACATGGGAGAGTTAGTGTCACTGAGGCTGCAGTCTGTGAAATGAAGTCGTCATCCCATGCAGGGGTTCGATTCCCTGACTCGCCAGAAAGAACAGAATTCCTCGCCTATCCTTGAACAGGACACATTTCTGTTGAACGAAACCGCTGAGATTTCAGGGTAATTTTTCTTTTTTAATGTAAAGATATATTTAATGATTCTTTTAATCACAGACACAGGATTAGGCAAACACCAAGAAGTGGACGGCATATTAAACTGGGTGATTTGAGGAGAGTTTAGAAAGGGATTTACTTATAAGATGTGGGCTGAGTTTAGGTAGTCAACAGTACATGGCCCAGTATCCTTAAGGCTAGCTCTGGGTTGGGATGGGGACTATTAGAACCTCTAAATCTGAAGGGGCAAGTGAAAGACCATTACCAAGACCTACGAGGGAAGTGTCTTGAGTAGGTCTCTAAACAAGAGTGATGACCTACCTCGGGGGGAGCAGGCCAGGGAAACTGGGCAGGGACGGGTGGGGGAATAAATATCCCTACTTCACTTGTCCCTCACCTCCTGCCTTTTGTTAGCTGAACCCAGTTGGAACCCAGAGGAAAAACAAGTTTATGAATGCAGGTAAACTTCCTGACAACAGAGCACGATGAAGCAGAGGGGAACACAATGAAGGGAGAAGCCAGAGAGGGAATGGAAGATTTCTGGCATACTTTCCCTCCCGTTGACTCTTCAGGCTAAATTATTAGTGCACAGTAGAACTTGGTCTATTCTGGCTAATATAACTTGGGTCTGAAATTGCCTTTTACTAAAGGTACGAAATATGATAGAATTGGTCAGAAAATACTTCCTTGGTCATTACAGTTACTGTTACCATCAATATGCATTATCCTACACGTTGTTGTTGTGGCAAACAACAGCTATTTGATTTTTTTTTTTTTTAACTCGGGTCAAGACTTCAATGGGCATAAGTAATAATTTTCATAGAGCAGAGAGGAGATAACTATTTGATTTTGCTTAGGATTTTGTGGGCTGGGAGTTTGGGGGAGGGCTCTGCCAGCCAGTTCTAACTTGCGATCCTCATGTGCATATGGTCAAATGCTGGCTGGGGACACAGTCATGGGAAGCTCTATTGGGCTGGGCATCCCACAGGCCTCACCTGAGGTGGCAGCTGATTTCCAGCTAGCAGCTGGGTGCTTGGCCAGGCCTTCCAGTAGGAGCCCCTGTATGTAACCTGTTCAGCTTCAGTTGCTGATGGTAGTTCTAAGGATAGTTGGACTTCTTAGTGGGCAGCTGGCTTCCCCCAGAGTGTCCCAAGAGAGCCAGGCAGGACCACGTGGCCGTTTTTGTCCTTGCCTCTGAAGTCCCACCGCAGTCTCTTTATCATACACAAGCTCTTCAGGCAGACTAGCTGCAAGGGAAGAGGACATAGACCCTGCCTCTTAATGGGATGAGCAGCAAAGAATCCATGGACACGTTTTACAAGTGTTTAGCCATCAAGGTGCTAAAGTGTTCTAAGCAATAGGAAAATGTGGGAAACTTTTAAATGCTATAGAATGATTTTGTTTTCAAAGAGCCAGAAGTGGGAACCTGCAGCATTCTCATATGCATGAGGAAGTAACCTATCTAGCTTTTGTATAAATAAGGAAATTCAAGATCCATGCTCGATAAGGTAGAAAATGATAAATATTACATACACAGTGATATGTAAAAACCAGTGACTTTGGCTTTTCATGTTTGGGGGATAGGCAATGTTCAGAAATGTGTCTTTTTTAAAATTAATTATTTTTTTAATTGTGTTAGTCACCATACAGTACATCATTAGTTTTTGATGTAGTGTTCCGTGGTCATTGTTTGCATATAACACCCAGTACTCAGTGCAGTCCGTGCCCTCCTTAATACCTGTCTTTTGCATCCACATGGATGGGACTGGAGGAGATTATGCTAAGTGAATAAGTCAGAGAAAGTGAATTATTGTATGGTTTCACTTATTTGTGGAGCATAAGGAAGAGTATGCAGGACATTAGGAGAAGGGAAAAATGAAGGGAGAGGACTCAGAAATGTGTCTTCTGGTGATGCTCACAATGTTTTATAGTTTTATGGCTCCTAGCCAGTGATTTCTTAACGCCCTTCCTTCTTTTAAAATGTTAAATCCACCCCATCAGAGAAGTGCCTTTCTTCTCTGCAAATCACCAGCATACTTTATATACTTTTCCCTGGGACCTCCTATAAAACCTCTGGTTTAGCCGTGTGTCTGCTGTGGGCGTGCATCGTAGCTTTCGGTTGGCTTAAGAGAGATTTTGGACAAAATGAACTTTTTTCTTATATGTGAATTAGTTTCCCACCCACTTATCAACAGTTTTCTGTCAAAGTTGGCTTTTGGTTTCATTTTTTCTTTCCCAATCTCTTATACTTGTGTGGTTTGCCTTTTACTAGACTAGAGAAAGTTTAAAAGTCACCTTCCCTTGCTTGCGTATGGACCAAGTAGCCTGCTGTTTTCTCGCACAGCTTTTACTGATGCTGCCAGCGTGCACTTAGTGCCTTCTCCAGGCCTCTCCCTGAGGAGATGGTCCTGATACTGAGTAGAACTAGCTGTGTTTTCACTGAGTAACTTGCCCAGAGAGTAACGTATGTCACAGTGA